ACACTGGAGAAGAGTAGGTAGAATCTACCTTCACTCGGAATGATCCCTCTGATTGAAACGTCTTAATCCAGTGAAGGAGTTTCCCTTGAATACTGTTGGACTCGAGTTTGTGGAGCAGCGGGACGTGTGTTACCCGATCAAATGCTTTCGAGAACTCAAAGACGCGGCATCTACTATGAGTTCCTCGTCCTTGGCTTAGGTCAAGCTGTCCATAAATACGACCGTATTTGTCACGCAAGAACGGTTTGGGAGAAATCCGTATTGAGCTGAAGATATCAAGTTGTTGGAAGTAACGTGATCTAAGATAACTCGCATCAGAATTCGTTCCATCCCCTTGCACGACACGCTAGTGAGGCTGCCAGGCGATCGTCAGTCACCACTTTTGTAGATTGGCGTGACAATCGTTTTCTTCAAAGCAGAGGGAAGGGGCCCTCGTCAAGCGAATGACGAAACACCAGGTGGAAATGATTTACCGGTGTAGACGACATTTCCTTCAGGATCTTTTGATGGGCTCTAACGTACAGAATGGATTGATCTTGTGCAAGAGTTGACGAATATCCTCCATCGTGAAGACCAAGCAGATTAGATGGTGTTCGTATTTAAGCTTTGACAAGGCTGGATTTGACGGGGACATTGGGGCTATATATAGACCTACACCGTGTTTTCTGTAACACTCAAACACTGTTGGGTCACTCGTGGCTTCTCCTGTTCCCCGAGGAGAACGCGGAGGGCTTATTTCTGTACCGATATCACGTATTTGAACACTATATTTGTTTTTCCGGGCGGGGCTCAGAATGGTGATTTGTTTTCGTTTGCCCCATTGCCAGATTTCTGAACTACAGTGGTTAGGCATTTTACGAAATACCAGCTCATCTTCTGCATCTCCTGAAGTCAAATTTTGAAAAAGTTGGGACCTCCTCTCCAAAAACTCCACACCCTTTTAAGCAGTCTGCGGCTCATCCAACTGCGTGCTGTTTCTCTTAGGCCCAACATCGCGCCAGCCCCGTGAACTTTCTCAACCATGGTCCTATATAAGCCTTCCACTGAAGCTGGTACCAGTTTGACTTGTTCAAGAAAATTGCGAATTCCTGATAAGTCTGCACGGCGGAAGTCTCGAAACCACGTTTGAGGTTCGGGTTTTCTGGCCCAATAGCAGATGAAATCAAAGGTCAGCACGCGGTGTTCGATATGTGTTTAGAGGCCAACCATCCCTAATAAACAACCATCACATCATTTGGACGGATGTGTCACGTGTAGGACACAGGCCAAACGAAGACATGCCCTGATTGGTCAGAATGCCAGCCAATCCGGGCCGAGTATCCTTGACTGGACGCTTCTCGCTCCTTCACGATACCTCAGCACGACCTTGTAGAACACTCTGTGACTACCCTATAAATACAGTTGTAATAATTTTTCCTTGCCTCCATGAAGGGCTGTGTAGAGCCGCTGTACCTTTTGATATGTCATAGTGGGCAGAGCAGGAAGCCAAGGGACCGATACAGAATTGCACCATCGTTCAGCAAGTTACAGCACCATGTCTCAGTGGAGCGTTAATTATCACCTGATCAGTGGAGTGTCTTCCATTCCAGAAGGAATGGTAGCTGACTTGCGCGGCATCTGGTGAATGCAACGACAAGTTTAGTCCAGGCGCTCTGCTGAACAACTTAAATCAGGGCAGCTGCAAAAGGTCCGCCTGATCCGACGCGCTGAAATTTTAACCAGGAGGCCTTTTGAGCGTTGAAGTTACCTAACGGCAGGAGATAAGTGAAGTTGTAACTGGTAGAGAGTTGCTCAAGTGTCCATATGAGGAGTCGGTCATCTTAAGTAAGACTCGAGGGGCTACGGTAGACCACATCGAGGAGGAGAAAATCGGACACACGCGCGGCGGGATTTAGATCCATAGTGCATTGCACAACGGTGCAGGATGATCGGGATGGACAGGGCCGCATGTAAATACAATGCAACCCCACTAGCCGTCTCACGTTTTGAGTCAGCTCGAAAATCAGAGTAACCGTCTATCGAGATCTCCGATTCAGAGACATCTGGTGTGAGCCACGTCACCTTGAGTGCGACGATGGGTGGTTGTTCAGGGCAAACTGGCTGTTTAATATCGTAAAGTTTGTTGAAAAGGCTGAGACCGTTTGCGGACAAGTATTTCAACACTGTCTCTGCTGCCTTCGAGGGTAAGAAGCCGGGAGTTGTGTGAACACGGAGGTTAGCAGACTTAATAGTTGTACGTCGGGTTTGAGTGTAAGGCTCCAGGGGAGACTCTGAGGCATTCTCGTGGGCTTCCTGTCTTATTGGTTTCGAAGGAGGCTTTTTATTTGCAGGTTTTTTCGCCCCTTGGAAGCCCGGTTTGCTCTTGCCTTTAAGCTTTGGGGGACGGAGGTTTTCCTCGTGGGCGAAAATTTCGCCCACTTGCTAGCAGCTCTTTCAACACCGCCTTTTAGACGAGATTTGTTGTTGGTCAAAGATTTGGGGCAAACTTTCGTCTTTCTGGTTTCTTGGGCTTCTTAGAGTGGTCTGATCTGGAAGATGTTTCAGTGAGGCCCTGAGCGCTGGGTGGCGGCACTAAGAAGCAATTCTTTTGGTGGCGCTACCATGAGGCTCGTTTTCGCGGAGGATTGTATCTTTAAGCCAGCCAGCAGTTTTCTGAGTTGGCGAACCCTATGATGATAGTTTAGCTGCAGTCACCTTTCTTCCGCGTTTGTGTGGGCACGCGATCCACCAGAAATCAGCGTGGGCAACTGGATGTATGAGGGATTTCCCGGTTCGCTGCGATCATGGTCATGGCTTTTGCTATCGGGGTCCCAGCCGACGACTGTGTTCACAAGCAGTGAGGTCACTTTTGACGCCCTTGAGCTGGAGGTCTGCAGTTTCACATACTCAGTGGTCAAACAGTTGTCGCAGCATTTCCCAATATCGAGGTCAAACGGCTGTGGTTAATTTTTTGGTGGGTGTAGCGACCCAGTCACCCACATACTTGACTGTTCAACTCACAGTCGCTCACTGGATCGCGAGGCTTGTTTTTTCTCATACGCACAAACACGTCGCATTAAGCTGACTCATCTGTATCGCACAAACGCTTGAAAATTTCTCCCGCCCAATCTCCCTGAACTCAACCGCGTAAATTCAAATGTCCCGCCTAATCCTGCCTTCTATTCGTTGACATTTTCTTATTATTTCGTCACCCCATCTCTATCCCATCCATAAAAACATTGCGTTGCACAAACTACGAACATGTTCTTGGTTCCTAAAATGAACCGTATTATCGCTTGTTTAAATGAATATTCTGGGCACTTTTCGAACTGGTTTCTCACGCTTGATACTTGTCTCCGTGTTTGTCGTGGGTCTAACTGTCGGTCGATAACTGTCAAGGTTTGTTGTACATTAATTGATTTATTGATATTTTGCTATACAGTTGGGCTCCGCTACCTGCCTTCCGCATATATAACTCAGTCCAGCTCGGAAGCTGTGAATTTGGTGAGGAGTTCTGAGGTGGTTGGATAGAAACCGCTGCCCGAAGACGCGGCCGGTTGCGTCTTCATGATTTCGGGATCACAAGGGTTTATATGATTACAATCGCTTTGCCATGAGTTTGTGCTCGGCTGAACTGGCGTCAAGCAGAAGACTGTTTTGCGCCTCTACCACGGAACTGCTGTGATCCAGCTTTCGCGCCTATAGAGGAGGGTACTTAGATAGACGCCTTATCGTTGGATAGGACTTTTGAATGCTGCCAGCCCGCTCCAAGTTCTTCTGCACTGCAGATTGGGAGGAAAGGGTCACTGGAAGCCCAAGTATCCGCTTGCCCCCTTCTCGCGTAAACAATCCGCGTGAAGCGATTGGTGGTCATGTTAAGCGGAGACATTACCAAAGAGCGAATGTGCAAGCTCCGTTGGCGTGATTTTTCCTTTTGACACAGTTTCCCGGAAAGTTACGTCCCAGATGATACGAATATAGTGATTTCTTCGTAGCCACAGACTTGTGAGAGTATGAAGAGCTCTTTAAAATTTTCCTCACATAAAGTATGGTAAAAAGGCAACGCCCGCTTCCTGCATGCATTTGAGCCAATGACCGGGGAGATAAATGGAAAAATGATAGATCTTCAAAATCCTATTGTCTAAATATTTGGTGACAAAAGCGTTGTCAGTCCGGAATATATAGACCAAACCGTTTTAGTCTTCGGTAGGATAAAAAGTCACTTTTCTATGGATGACCTTCAGAAATCGTCTGTCAAGGGGGCTCACTAGAGTGAAACAGCCTAGTCAACGACAGAAGATACACATGAGCTCCGAAGTTGACCATATCACGGTGCTTTTTACGACCGATTTCTGTCAGAGCAAATTTTGTTTAGGCTTCAGCAAAGGACGGATTCGCAAACGACGGTATGAAGGTACGGTTTTAAAAGTCAAAGTTAAACCAAGCACAAAATTGCGCCACTTAGCTGATGCAGAGATCAGCATAATGACATTTTGAATTCTCGTCTCCCGTGTAGTTTCCTTGAAGACCAACTAAACCACCAGGAAAATTAAAAAGGACGTCTGTACCGGGACACTTATACCGATGAGTTGTCAGAAAGTCTCAGGCTGGAAAGTAGCCCTAATTTGGAGTACTGGAACCGCTGGAATAAAACAGAGCGGGGAAGTTTGCTCCTTTTGGCTTCCAGTAGGGCAGCCAAAACCCAGCAGCACATTCTGCTGTTACTGATGGTCAGTGAATCTATAATTCGTGTTCTCCTCCGACTCCAAAACATGTATACGATGCGTGGAGTCAATGAGGTCATCGTTTGGGAAACTAACCTGTTCCAAACCTGAGAAGTCGGACGATCGACAAGCGGTTAGCACTTAAAAACGATAAGCAGATGATCTTCAACTTGGTGCTGCTAGAAAACTGAAGATAGAGTAATCTTCATTATAAACAGAGATAGAAATATTAGACAGCTTCATGGTTCCACACTTGCCTAAAGCACGTGAACAAAACTGGGGGCACCAAAGAATAAAATGAACGAACTCCGGGAAGAACAAACAAATGGACTCAGATTAGCCTTACAAGATGTCAATCTCACCATGACCTACAACCAAGCTGAGTTGGTTGTGAGAATGGCAGGTGACACACTGGTGTTGCTGTCGGGCATCGCCAATAGGACTTATTGCACCCTCACCTATCAGAATCACCGAGGTGGACGTGCATATAAAAAGCACCTACGGAGGTGCCTCGGCCTCACCAACAATCTTACAGCAATGAGACGGTTAGTAAGAGATAAGCATCCTTTCCTTGTTGCTCGAACGAGAGTTGACTCACCCCCGGCGTCCCAAACGTGAAACTAGCAGTGGTTGGATACTCTAAGTCCAGCCGGGAAACTGCTGGCAGTAGCACTGTGTATCATAACCTAGGACCCTCAGTGATATCTGCTGGATAAATACGCCTACCTCATTCGAAATCTTCTGGCTCCTGTGAGTTTAACAGAATGCTTCTTGGAGTTCACCAATAATTGACCGGTCATTTTCGACTCACCATTACACAGAACTGTTGCTAGTGCGATACATTGACGTCCATGGTGCTTCCAAGATCATGTCACCAAATTGGAACCGGTAGAAATTTTAGAGTACCACTGACTCGGGCACAAATTTAGGACACCCAAACGATTGGGCGCACTTCCTCCCGCGTCATTTGTGTGTGTTTTCGGATACCCCACAAAGTCTATGCCGGACAGATTCTTGCGTGGGGCAACCAGGTGGTCTACTGGAGTCTCCAGAGAAACATAGCCCTAAACTAATCCTACTAACGTGTTGCAACGAACATGGTCACTGGCCTGAAATCCACTTGGTTAAAAATAGCCTCTCAATATATCTTATCTCCGCGACCCAGACTGCCGTCACCTACTAGGTTATTTGATGCTTAAGTACGCCCTGTTTGAGGTGGGTTTAAACGAAATGATCATTATGACTGATCTCTCTGCTACAAATGTAGGACGTAGTGACTGGGTTTTGTATATAAGATCACATGTTTCTACTAGACGTTCATTCTGGTCTCAGGTGATTAGCATAGAGTAGAATTCTCTGGGCGGATTGCGGATGATTTTTGACGTGCGTCCTTGCTTTGGCAAGCTTTCCATCTAGCGTTGAAAACCCAAAAAGGAGTGATACACTCCGCTATCGCTCGCTCTTTTCGGGTTGATGAACAATGCGGAGCAACAAACTCAGACCAGGATGAGGAATGTCTGGCGAGGTCCAAATTCTGGGTATTGGTCCGCTAATTAATGGACCAAGCAGTTATCAATAAAGGGAGCCGAACCCAACTTATTTCTAACCAAAAAGCCAGCTTGTGAACCAAGTGGTAGTCAGAGTCTCAATCAATCCCAAAGTCTCTTTTTCACTTGTGTTTAAGGCAACAAAATCTAATCTGCGGACCCTCATTTTAGATCTTTACCAACCGAGTTTTCCAAATTTTTCGGCCCCCCCTTGCTGCTGCTTTGAGACAATCACTTTGGCAGCAGTCGAGGCAGACAACCCTCATTCCTAGGATTTCACTACTCCATCAAGCCTAGCAGAAGTTACAAGAAGCATCTTATAACTTTTAGACGATAGGCTGCAACCCTTTTAGGAGAGGGCCTGCGATGCCCCTAGCCACGATGTGTTAGTTTGAAAAATGCGGAACAGGTGCACTGCAGAAATCAACGACTTCCGCGATCATTATTCATGCCAGATGCGGCATTTTCAAAGGCAAATAGAGAATGTATGGTACGATTACGTGTGACACCACCGGAGGAACGAACCTAATTCCTTCTGCTCTAGAAGTAATTCCACACCCTTATATGGATAAAGCCTTTGGAGCATGTGACATCAAATTACTAATTTCTGACATCATCTCCAAGCAACTAGCTTTCCCACGACCAGTGAATGATGAACGTCTCACGGATAAACAGCTAGCACAAGAAAGCACCTGATATATCAGGTTTGAAGTGAAAAAACTCAACGTCACGGTAGTTTATTGCATTCACCACCGATCGTCAAAGAAGTCATTCTGATTATCGGAGAAACCTCTTAACGTTTTCGAGCTATTAGTAGAGCTCGCTACGTTCTATTGATCTAGCAAAAGGCTGCTGTTATGAATATTCTTAAGGGTGTTTCGAAGAAACACCAACTCCACAAAAATGTGTTAGGTTGGTATTATACATATTGACGAAAACAAAGTACGTATATCATTTATTGGGTTAAATCTGTCCCCGTGATACGCAGTCATAAGGGATTTTGGACAGTCTCTAGAGGAGGGGCTAAAAGTAATCTAGCTACCTTGCGGTCTTCCACGAATACCGCCCAAAACCATCGCCAGAAAACTGAACTGAGCGAATACGTCCCTAAAACCTGAAAATGATCCTTTCATGAAAGGACTTCTGAGGATTTCAGGATGCTGAATATCTTATACGTTAGACAGTCCCTACGGTTCGACAACCGCTACTAGTGTTCCGATGGGCTATTATTGTACGGAACTTATAATCAAACACCCCGAAGATGGGTGACGGTGATTGGCCCACGGACATTGGAAAGCAACTGGATCGCCTAATCTCTGCCCTTTAAACCACAGGCATCTGCGCATTTTTCAGACATGGTTTGGCCGCATTTAACCGCTACCCCGAAAAAAGCAGTTATTGACATAAAAGATGATACTTTAAGTCAATGACGGGAAGATTCCTACAAAACACCTTCTCTAGTTGTGAGTTTTGAAAGCGTGGAAAAACTTACCTCAGAGTTTTGACACCGGTAATTTTGAGATATATAGTTTTTGGTCTATTTGGATGCTTATTTGCATGGGCCTTTCATTCGGCACTGCTTTATTAGCATCAAATCATCGAGAGTTGGTGACTAACCCAACTTTTCACGTCCGACTTCCAGACGAAACCTGGTGAAACTGACAACTCTTCCCCTCTGATTCTTCCTCGACTTTGAGCCGTCACTTCGCTCTGGTGATTATGCTTTTTTTCGCAATGATTTTTCAAACCGGACTATTTGTAACTCAGTACATTGGAGTGAAACTTCACCTGAAAAGCCATAGTAGAGGGGCACGGCGAATAACGAGTGGCTGTGGAGGTGGCATACGGGCCAAAGCTCGCTGCCTTCTGCAATAGGAGTGCGGTACAGTAAGTCGTCTCATTTGACAAAAGCTTCAGCTTTGGTTACAAAAATGAATTAGCCCCCTCGTTAGGTATCGACCTTCCTTGTTGTGAGAAGCAGTATTGTAAGATCCGGGCGGTTATGGATCTCACAAGACGATTGCGGCTATTGGATTATACGCAGTTTGTAGTCAGTAGATAGTAAGAGCAGACAGACTTGGGTAGCGGACAATGCACTGGGGACTGACAGGAAGTGGTTCTACAGACAAGTGAGTTAGTAAGCGTCATGGATTGAACGAATGTACAATCAGTAATGACGCAATCAACGGGAGCGGAAAATAGTCGCTGAGGCAGCAGGAATTTCTAGAATCAACAACAAGTGAGCACTAAACAATGTGCAAACATGCATATACGGGCAGTCTGACAGTGTAAGTTGGCCGTATAGGGAGATAACGACACCGAAAGTCAGTCCGTTTCGGATGCGAGGGACTGCCCTTCGGTTGGCAGCACAGAGCGTCAGCTCGTGTCACGTGAGAAGCCAGACTGCCCGGTTTCGTCCGTTGAAAACACATCTCGCCAAAGGCTGTCTGGCAGATGCGGTAAGTGGGTACTACAAAATAATAAACCATTCCGGTTATCAGGTTGGTGTAGTGGATGGCGTGTTTGACTACCGTCGGGGAAATCTGGGTTTGATACCCGGTCGTCAGCTTTTCCGTCGAAGTGGACGCTCGAAAATAGGTACAACCGACGCGAACTTGTAAGCAAAGAAGGAGAGCAGCAACTATTTATATCGGTTACTGAAGAACAACGGACCTTAAGTAGGAACGGAACAGGGGGAAAAACGGGCAGCAACGAAACAAACGGCGTCATAATAAACGGGCATATATCGAATTACTCATGAGTAGTCAGAAAACAAGGTAAGCTACCGCTGTTCACCGTTGTTTCACAGGGGGATCGACAAGTATTATCGACCACAATACAGTAAACCTGCATAATCGACTGGACAGAACTTTTGCTTGGCACTCAACTCAGATGGAGTTTGTCAATGGATCAATACGAGAATTCCATTTACGCCAAAGTCCTTGCAAAAGATTGCAAATTATCCTTTCTGCTCTCGGATATGGGATGGGTTCACCAAATAATCTTCCAGCTGTAGCATCCTTTCAGTGCCTAACTGCCATGTCACCCGAGAGAAGCACGATGGCTGGAATACTGCCAGTGTGCCTAAGCCTAGATGGGAGAAGTCGAGATGCAGAGGTCAGGTTGGAACTACGGACCTTCGCTCTCTAACCATTGAGCCATCTCACCCCACACAATCGTGGAGCGCCGAAAACATTTTATACACCAAGAGTGATCAAGGTAATGATAAACTAAGCCAAGAAGCTTTTACACAGCAAGCAACATTTTCCAGTTCTTCGTGAATTCACCGCATTGTTGAATCGTGCTAAGGCATGATGTTTACGTGTACTCAACTGCAAGTGAAAAATTACCATAGTACACATCCGACATACACGTACGAAGTGTTATTTATGTCCAGTCCTACAACAGACCACCAGTAGCTCCGCGACTAAACAAAGTGCGATAGTCCCAGCGTATACCGAAACAGATCGGTGACATCGGGATGAATGAGCATGATACACTCTAGGAGAGGAGAGAATGTGACGTCCGATGTTGCCACCTGGTATCGTATTGACCGCACGTCTGATGCCTATTCGGTCAGTGGCTATGGCCTGGCCTGAATAAGGCCAAACCATGTGGCCCGCTCACATAAAGTGATCAGCGAGTTCAAGAAACGCCTATTAGTCCTAATTACTGCGTGTGCTACGTGTCGGTTGTATGTCATGCGTCCACGGATTGGAACGCCCACGTAGGAACGGTACTGCCCTCTGCATGATCCCTCTGAGTACACTGAGTTTCTCGAACGTGCATGAACTACCTGTTCCACATGATGCACAGGCACACTGGTTAGTGAGACAAGCAAACTAAATTAGAGAATTGTCCAAAGATGGCCAGAATGAACTAATCTAGAGGCGAAATGAACTACACAACGAAGCCTGGTACCAATGAGTCGGCATTGGCGATGAGAGGCGAACAGTCGCCCCTCACAAATGATGCTGTTTGTTGTAAGAGAAGCACGCTGGAATACTGCCAGTGTGCCTAAGCCTAGATGGGAGAAGTCGAGATGCAGAGGTCAGGTTGGAACTACGGACCTTCGCTCTCTAACCATTGAGCCATCTCACCCCACACAATCGTGGAGCGCCGAAAACTTTTTATACACCAAGAGTGATCAAGGTAATGATAAACTAAGCCAAGAAGCTTTTACACAGCAAGCAACATTTTCCAGTTCTTCGTGAATTCACCGCATTGTTGAATCGTGCTAAGGCATGATGTTTACGTGTACTCAACTGCAAGTGAAAAATTACCATAGTACACATCCGACATACACGTACGAAGTGTTATTTATGTCCAGTCCTACAACAGACCACCAGTAGCTCCGCGACTAAACAAAGTGCGATAGTCCCAGCGTATACCGAAACAGATCGGTGACATCGGGATGAATGAGCATGATACACTTTAGGAGAGGAGAGAATGTGACGTCCGATGTTGCCACCTGGTATCGTATTGACCGCACGTCTGATGCCTATTCGGTCAGTGGCTATGGCCTGGCCTGAATAAGGCCAAACCATGTGGCCCGCTCACATAAAGTGATCAGCGAGTTCAAGAAACGCCTATTAGTCCTAATTACTGCGTGTGCTACGTGTCGGTTGTATGTCATGCGTCCACGGATTGGAACGCCCACGTAGGAACGGTACTGCCCTCTGCATGATCCCTCTGAGTACACTGAGTTTCTCGAACGTGCATGAACTACCTGTTCCACATGATGCACAGGCACACTGGTTAGTGAGACAAGCAAACTAAATTAGAGAATTGTCCAAAGATGGCCAGAATGAACTAATCTAGAGGCGAAATGAACTACACAACGAAGCCTGGTACCAATGAGTCGGCACTGGCGATGAGAGGCGAACAGTCGCCCCTCACAAATGATGTTGTTTGTTGTACTACCGAAAAATTCAGGCACTGGAGACAGAAAATTCATACATAACAAACAGCATATTTTACAAATCTGTAGGGGGCAAGTGGACCTTCCGTTTTGTAATCCGATTTTTGATTGTTGGGGTTTTCTTTTTCGTAAAAGCCGTCTCTTTTGCTTTGGCTAAGGTGATGTCACGGCGCTCAATATCCATTCATACCTATCTAGCAATGAATACAGAATAAAGGACGCATTTGGGAGGGTCCCAAGTGCCTTGTTGTACTGAAACACGAGCCTCAGAGATCAAAACAACTCCATTCAGAAAGTTGCTTGTTGTTTTTCAGGCTCAGTTATTCCCTGCGTTCCCGACTTTCTCAGTTTTCGCCGGTGATATTTCTCTGGTAGTTGTTGATTACATCTTGTTCTGATTGTCGCATCAGAAGTACCCACTCTAAAAAATGACTATATCCTATCCTTTCATCATTACTTACGACTTAAATTCGAGAGAATTTCGGTGCTGTGATGAGCGGTACTCCTGCTCTTTCAAGTAATAATGAGTTTTTTAGATGGTGTCCGAACAAAACTTTATATCTGAAGAACATACTACATGCGAAGTAACTGAAGTTTCCAATCCGAGAAGATCCGAAAGATTACGATCAAGACCACCACTGAACTATAGACTTCCACACGCTCATTCAAGGTGTTGCGGGTCCAATTGATACCCTATTCATTATTCTCCTGTTTTAATACTCCAAATGCTGTCCATATACGCTGATTAGAATGCACACGTGCAACTCGATACGCTGTGCTTAATTCTGAATTTCTAGTTCGTTTTGTTATACTCATATACGTGCGGAACTCACTTCTCACAGGTGCACCATTGAAATATAAAGTCAGTGCACATGAGATGCCGGGAACGGCGAGAAAACGGAAGAAACGCTGCATCACATGCCAGAACTAGTTTCTCTCCTCCAGTTTGCAGTACGTCATCAAGGCACCACCAGACTGGACAGAAGGATTTACGGTTTGTCTTTATGCTTGGTATCCTTCTGTCACTCTCAGCTGTTGCTTATGGCTCGTATCACGATAAAATCTAGTTTCGAGCTTCTAAATTTCTAACTTTTCAAACCACGCTCAAATAAATACTGATTCACATGCAGGCATATTACACGCCGAAACCATTAACTCACTGAGTTGAGCACTCCACAAGAAAAGCAACATTCAGTGTTCCTGATTACTGAAGTTGACATAGTCGTACCAGATTTGACAGAATTTTCCTGTGTTTGTTTATTCTTACTCACTGATTCATGCTTTAGATTCCCAGTCTTGTGGAATACACCATCGCAATCATCTGGGTACGATTACTCGGACGCTACGGAAAATGTCAAGTCCGAACGGGGGACGTTTTACTTGACAACAAGAGAGTAGCTTAAAATACCCTTGATTGTCAGAGGTAGACAGAGAGCAGAGCGCTTAAGGTCACGTCTACGAACATCGTCTTTTACCGGTCTTGGTTCTTTACTGTTGGTCAGTTGCGTTCAAACATGGAACATTTTACTTTCACTGCACTACTGGTGGTCACGCAGATCGATATAGCTGTTGAACTAGTTTTGCGTGATTTTCAGTGTTTTCTCACTCTTGTCTGGTCTGTCTTTACTTCACTCTACCAGACAATACTACCTGCCCCATCCTACCCAAAACAGGTGCTCTCTCAGATCTTCCCTCCTGCGAATAGCCAGTCGATAGATGCACGAGCCAGACTGTGGAAGAGTTTGTTCACCCTCCGTCAGGCTTAAAAATGAGTGGCCATATTCCCATCATGGTGTGAACGAGATATCCACAGTATTGTGCTCAGATTTTATCTTGCGTCTGCGAAATATGGATTAACGTGCAAACACCACCGCTAGATCCTCACTCAGAAGAGGGCACTGAGGGGCAGAAAGAATGAAATGTATGGGACACTTTGAGATTAGCCTGTCAGCCTGTCCACTTTCATTCTGTGTTGGTCGAACGAGTGGATTTAGAAGATGCTACATCAACACGATTCTTACATTTTTAGCAACCTAACATCTGGCAACCAATTTTGTGCATTTTTGGGCACGCCGCATGAGGTACTTGTTACATGGGTGTCGATAAAACCCCGAAAAAAAGAAGAAGGATGGTAAGTTAAGAAACGATAAAACAGACAAGTCGGCAGAGAACACCCAACATTGGTTAGTTGTTTTCTGCTTGGTCTCGCCAAGACTTTTTTGCGAAAGCACTAAACAAATCACAACAGTAGACAGGGGCCCCTGTTCATGATTCCCTTTGCCATGCATCCAGCAAGCATGTTTCTGAGTTGGCTGCAACCTACAATTGTGCATGGAATGGTCTCACAGGTATGCCAAACAGGCGAACTACTGTTCATTTGCAGATGAGTATAACAATCGAACCAGTCAGCACAAACTGCGCCCCTCACGTGACTTTGAAGGGAGGCAATGGTGTCATACCAGGTCGGCTGCACATACGAGTTGAGTGCGACCATGCCACCTCGGATGGGAAACTGATTTACCCCTTCAGCGCCTATATGTGGACAGGACGGTCCAGTGACTGTGGACAACAGCTATCTGGACGTACGAGCCTTGTGCGGCGCGGGCAGTTTACTCCAGTTGGCGAACGAAGTCTTTGATACCTAGTTCGTGGGTTTCTCAAGCAATCACTTCTTTTGCACACAAATGTGCGTAGGACTTTTCGAGGCCGATGAAGTTGTTGGCTATATTGTTTATCGGATGAATGTCCAATGGAATGACTGCTCTGGAATTCAGTTGAGTTGACATTCAGAACGTGAAAGCAACTTCCCCCCCACAGACTACATTAGGCATCAAGTCAGTGACAAAAAACCCATTCAGTTGTAGCACCCTTTCGGGGCCCAACTGCCATGCCACCCGAAGGAGGGCTTGGATACGCCCAAGCTACTCAAATCTAGACACGGCAAGTCGAGAAGTGGAGGCTGGGTTCGAACCACGGACCTTCCAGTCAATAAACTCGCGCCAAAACCACTGAGCCATCCCGCTTCTAAGTGACAGCAGACAAGGAGGTAGAAAAATGCGGTAGCATATGGTTCAGAACAAGTTACAGACCGTTACAACGGGCCGTTGATCGCGGTGTGATTATTCAAACTCACCCTCCCCCCTAACAAGCGATACTTCTGGGTGAACAAGTGGTCACAAATGGCAGCCCGTTTGGTGAAACACTTTGATTTTGTTGACGTCAAGGCCGCTTCCATCAGATAGATATTCGGTTGCCTCTGATCCACCACACACCTCCTCAGCTCATCTACCTTGTGGAAATCTGAGCGGACAAGGTTTTGTGGACGGATAAAACCGCTGGCTGACCCGATTAACGGAGTACACGGAAGAAACTGTGGACAAAAATCTATATTTACAAATGGTATACAATGCCGACAGCAATAACAAACGAACATCTATTTACACATGGATAGTGACATGAAAAAATCAGTTAGAACAAATCGTAAAAAACGAAGGATTCCTGGAAAGGAAGGCATAGAGGAAATGGTAAATTACGGACCTGAAACGAGCGCTTTGTGTCAGTTAGAAGAACTCCTTCAATCAGAGAAGCTTGCGATTAAAGAACGGAGGTTGGCTGAACAGTAGAATTAGTACGAGCGCAAAGTATTTCATTATACTACTCAAACCAATTCGATTCTTGGCGGAACATACCCTGAACTCGTGTGAATGGTCCCTAATCTGCCGAATGAAGAAAAGGTGTATGGAAGTGGAAAAAAGCACGGTGTCCACTACGAAAAATATTACAGAATCTGCAGTAGAGACCTAGCGCACAAAATGTGGAGAGATCCATGTACGCTACTACCTACAAAATGCACACAAACCAGCGAATTCCGGTGTACAAGTGAAGGTCAGCTGGAGATTTGTGGTCACTACATTGAAATCTGACTGGTGTATATCCACGCGCTAACCCTTAAATTATTGTCCATGGTACAAGAAAATGCAACCAGTCGTTTCAAACTACGACACTATGCGCTTTATCGCATCGTCCAGTCGCACTTTTTTTGCATGTACAAACCAAAGCAACCCACTAGAAAACGAAAATTAGCTATCAGTATTATGGTGGACGATAGTCAGAATCGGCAAGTCTTCGAGTAACACTGTGGATGCACCGGTCAACTGTAAAGTCGACTATTTGTCATTCTAAACGTTATCTTTTGAAAGTCTGTCTGGAGGCCAGTCACTCCTAATAACCGACCAGCATGTCAATCGAACGGATGTATCACGTGAGGTCTGAGGACCAAACGAAGACATGTCCTGATTGGTCAGAATGCAAGCCAATCTGGATCGAGCGTTTTTAGCTCGACGCCTCTCTCCCCTCACGAAGATTCTAGTGCAACCTCGTGGAATATTCTGTGATATACCTATAAATACGGCTGTAGTAATCTTCCTTTGTCTTCATAAAGGGCTGTCTCAAGCTATCGTGTCTTCTGTCATACTGTGGTGGATGGAACAGGAAGCCAGGAACCGGTACAGACGTTGCGCTACCGTTAGCAAGCCACAACGGGGTCCTCGGTTCACAAGCCGTCTCTTATTATCAATCCCTCCATGAAACCTACGTAACAATAATCTAAGCTTCCATTTTGAGCTTTTAGTTCCATTCCCTTAGCTGATAACTTGTCACATCAATCTGAATCCGATTGATTTTATTCCGGATTGTCACGCCATGGTATATCTCCCCATGGACCTTTCTTTCCGAATGAGAAACAGTGCTTTCTTCGGCAGGCGATGATTATTAATAAAGGGTGAATAAACTGGACACAGTAGACTTTAGTTGCTGTCCCAGCGACACCGATTTTCCACCACGTATTCGGTTAGGTACCATTTCATTGAGAAGAGGCTGAAGTCAGCTTAGTCCTGCCAAGTCAAGCAGGCTCCGGTGCGTGGGGGGGGGCGGCAGTTAAGAAATTTCGATCGGAGTGGTAAACCCTCACGACGATCAAGTAGGACTCTTTGTACAGTTGCTTTAGCTTCATGGAGGTACAATGCTGACTCATGGCGCCACTGGACACCTGTTTTTTTCGAGTTTTGACAAGATATGCATTGACTTTGATACAGTACACAAAAATAATCTAATACTCAGCTTTCTGATCCCAGTCCATGGTGCATGCGTAAACACCAAGGAAGAGCTGGTGGCTGCTTGGGGCAATGGTTTGCACAACAGAGTTGACAGGCGCGGTTTACAAGAGTTAGTCGTTTCGTCTCATTCAAATCGACGGCTTGTAATTCCAAAACGAGTGTTTTGTCAGATAATTATCCACGGTATCCAGCCTCGGTGCAACCTGTTTGGGACGAAAGTTAGGAGCGCCCGGCGTATTTTTGGTGGCCAGACGATATTCTGTCGTGGAAAATGTGGTCGACAGGAAAGTTTGATGTATATTCTGCAGTCCTGCTGAACCACGATGATGCTAGATGGGTTGCAAGGGAACTCACGATACGTTTCCGTCGGCTGGGATACACCGTCTGCGGGGAGTTGAGTCCTTCATCAAGCCTAACCTAATTGCTGTTCAGGAGCACCAAGCAACTGCGACAGAATTAATCAGAGTCTCAGATGAGTGCGGAGTGACCGTGTGGAGCGAGAAGAAGCAGAAGTATGGTGTCGATGATTGTCCCTTCACCATAGTCTAAGTCTTGCGTGCGATTGATCGTGATATCGACGTTTTGGTCCACCAACCGATGATCACTTCTTATCGAGAGATCTGCTTTCCTCAATCCGCTAAAGCTGTTATTGGACTGGGACCTCCTGAGGTCGCAGTCAGTGACTTGTGTTTGCTCGGCCTTTTGGGCTCTCTACGTACTTAAAACACTTTTATGCGTGGTTCATGGCGTTGAGAGTACATTTTTGCCATTGAACCTCACACCAGACCTAGTATAGCGGACACTTTGTGCCTGTGCTAGCGCTTACCACGCCTTGAAGAGCATTCAGCACTGCTTGTCCTTTCTTTGGTTATTGGTCTTCACCGGCGTGTTCCCGCATCAAACTTTGTTTTTACACTCGTTGGGATTCATCCTGTCTGATCGGAACTGTTTCAAGGCATGATTTCAGATGGCAAGCCGCCCTCGTTTTACACCCTTCCACATCTATTGCTTGGAGTTACTTTTCATGTTTGTGACCACGCTGTTCAAAAATTAATGACAATAAAGATAATAGTGGGAAGCAAACTGTGGGGACAAATGAGGGGTTCTCGTTAGGGATTGATCGGCACAGAAATAATACACCCACTATGATGAATATCAGCGACCACTGGTTAGTGACTTGTGCATACGGATTAACACAAAACGGACAACCAGTGGAGCGAGGTGAGGAAGGAAGTACATTCATCCACCGGATAGACACAAAAGTCATTGCGAAGGGTGGCTTTTAGAATCGAATACTCAGTATTGATCAAAGGGGTTTTCGTCCTTCTAAGCAAGTGCGTCTTACAATCACTTGTGAAGCCCGAACTTAGTGGAACGTGCTTCAACGGGTATGACGACCCAGATCAACCTAGAAGCACCCACAGAAGCCGGTTTCCACTGAATTCCCACTCACCGTCAAAAAGAGAATTATATATATGTATTGCTACACTGTTATTCAACATTTATATTGCCATAACTGACAGAAGTCCCAAGATGTGGCCTAGAAAATTTTTGGGACGGAAGCCACAAAGAAAATAATCAAGTTCGCACATTTTCCACTGTTTACTGCCATCAGAGCACAGAGCGAGATACATCTGGGGGTATGAACCACTGATATTAGGAACACGGCATGACAATAGGTGAAGAATCAAGGAAGTTCGAGATTGATCGAGTTGGGTAAAAGGTGTGAACCTATGCTAAATGAGGGCGGATTTGGATAAAGAAGGCTGGAGACGGAATCAATCTTAAAGGACGTGTGGTACGTCGGGCATTCTGCGTCCTACCTTACCAGGATAAAAACAAGCTCCACAACACATACTTATGACCACAAGGGCATGGTTTTGAGCAACAGGATAGTGTCCGGAGATTAGCTACCCCTAATAACCGAATAGCACATCGATTGGACGGATATGTCACGTGCAGGCAACGGACCAAACAAAGGCATGCCCTGATTGGTCAGAATGCTAACCAATCCAGATGGGGCATCTTTGGCTCGACGCTCCTCGCACCCTCACGGAGACCTTGAGAAACATTCTGTGATTGCTCTATAAATACGGACGTAATAATCTTCCTTTGTCTCTAAAATGAGTTCTCTGAAGCTACCGTGTCTTTTAGAGGACGGAGCAGGAAGCCAAGGACCGACAGAGAGTTGTTCGACCGTTCAGTAAGTCACAACAGATAGCCACACTTTCTTGGTCTGACGACTAGCAATTGAGAATCAGGTTTGTGTCAGCGAAGTTTGTGTTTTGCGATGGTGGTTTTCAGAACTTTATTGGTGATTTGGGCAGGTGTCCCGCGATGCGTTTCTGTTCAAAACTACGCATGTGCTTCCATACACATCCATATTCGTAAACGCAGTCTAAGATGGTGAAAAAAATAAAAAGACAACCGTCCAACTGTAGCATTCTTTTGGTACTAGCTGCCATGCCACCCGAGGGAAGCATGCGGGTTGGGATACTGCCGGGTTGCACAAGCCTGGACAGGGGAAGTCGAGAGGCAGAGATCGGGGTCGAACCACAGACCTTACGGTCAGTAAATTTGCGCTCTAACCACTGAGGCATCTCGACAGAATAAGCAGACCGCTTTTACAGGTGATTGCGGTATGGTTTGACCGGACTAAATTAGCTGCAGGAATTGGACACTGTGTTGCACCCTGATCGTTCCGCAGCAGCGTCCTTTCAGTATCTAGCTGTTACGTCACATCCGAAGGAAGCACGACAGCTGAGATACTGTTCGAGCTGAGTTTGAATCACCGACCTTCCGGTCAGTGAGTTCGCGCCTTAACCAGCAAGCTATCTCACGCTATTTCGAGGCTGGAATGCCTGTTCTGTGTGCGTGGAATCTCCATTCAAACCTGTCATCAACATGAAATTTCTTGATTTTCTGGGTTGAATTGATCACCAGAGTAGCAAAAAATGTCTGCAAACAGGGGGACCAATAGACAGTCCATGGGTACTCCAGTGGTCTGCAGGCTTTTGGTACACGGTTCTACAAAAGCACACAAGTTATTCCCGGAAATGGCTGCGAAATGTGTGTGGCGAAAGACTGTGTCAGTAGTTTCGTCCAGCAATACACAGGTAAAAATTCGAAACTACCCATCAGAGTGTGATGACATCATTATCTCCCAGTGGTTTCAAGAACTTCCACGAGCGACTTGGCTTTGGGTGCTTCTTCAATGCTCTTGAAGTCTGTTGTATGCTTCATGTGAGGAACGTAGATGACGGTAAACGGTTGAGTAAGATATGGAAAGTTTGAATTAGATATCGCGAGCCATCGTTTCGAAAGATCTTTGCAACCAAGTGACGAGACGCCTCGGTGGCTAGAGCGCGAATTTACTGACCGGAAGGTCTGTGGTTCAAACCCGACCTCTGCCTCTCGGCTTACCCAGTCTAAGGTTGGGCAACCTGGCAGTATCCCAACTGCCAAGCTCGGCGAACAGACCAACAACCAAAGTATCCCAACCCTCGTGCTTCCTTCGAGTGGCAGTAAGGCAACGAAAGGATGCTACAGCCGGGCCAGTGCTGCTTCGATTCGCCATTATATCGCCTGACGCGTTCCCGAAATCAGGTAGCAGTCTGATGCGATTATCCGTCTTTCTGTGTGTGTGTACACGCGACTGTGTGCTTTGGCTGGGAATTCGCCTTGTTGTGTGTTGGTTGTAATAGATCACTGTTGAGATTCCTGCTTGATATCTGGCCACTGCAATATGCTAAGGCGCGCGGTAAGTCCAAACCAGATAGATAAAACTCAGCTGTATTGATTTCTAGTGCTTCGGTACACGTCCATTTCGCGCGTGACCTTAATCTTGACTGGAATATGCGTGTGCCATTGAAGTCAGTTTGGTGGTGACGAGTGTGTGTGGAGTACGGTGGCTGAGTTGGACATGACGAGGTAGAGAAGTTCTCTCCAACCGTCATTTTTCTTTGGCGTCCAATTCGAATTAGTCAAAGAAATTGGGGCTCTACATTACTAAAAAAAGTGGAGTATTTTCACAAACCAATACGAACACTACTCCGTGATGCAGGAGCTTGCTTACCGGAAGAAAATTCCAACATGAGACCGACCTTCAATTGTCACTAAGGTGCACTAATTTTGGTTATGCTGAATAAGACAAAATGTGGCCGACATTGGCTGCGAAACGAAACAACCGAGTTTTATGTTTCCGACCTATGAAGTTTGATTGTTGATCTGTCCGTCGACATTGATAGTTGGATTGAAAATCAAGGTGACGACACCAGGCTAATTTGGGATAACAACCTCAGAAAGATTACACTACCATGCATCAAAAGGGCTGCGAAAATGACTGCAAGATATTTACGGGGATATGAAATAACACTCGTTCTCAAGTCTGCGAACCAAAAGAAAGATGAGGGAGGCGAAGACGAACGTGATCTACAGACTTCAATGTAACGACTGCGACAAACAATATGTCGATCAGACTCAGAGAAAACACGGACACAAGCTTTCCAGCAGACGGTATGACCCAAGTTCACCGGGTAGCATGGCAACTAGGCACCGAAAGGTTACTACAGCTGAACGTTTTTCCATGTGGAGGGTTCACACCATGAGACGACCCAATGTACCTAGATGTTTCCCACTAAGTGGAAGCGATGCTAGAAAACTGAAGGACATACAGCAGATTGGATTCCGGAAAGTATCAAATGAAAACCTTACGATGAAGCAATGCAACCCTCATGAGGTATGACAACTGAGGTACGCCGAAGTCGCTCACACTTCAGGAATATCTGGGAAGTTCATATGGGGCTAAAACCGTTGACTTCTCAGGTCAGGAGCTAGTGCAGTGAATTCCACCCTATCTGGAGCAAAATGCTAAGCCGTATCTTACTGAGCTCACGCTGAAAAGGGGCAAGCTACTGACTGAAAGGCAGTCTGATTACATTTCTCGAGGCTTACACAATCTGAGGGAGTTTCACTCCCCGTCGTGGGGCAACTTGGTGCTGAAAGATGAGGGAAAACAGAGAGATGGAGAACAAAATGGTTTTTTGCTAGACAGAGCAAGAGGGTGGCCGGACAGAATTTCAGATAAGAGCTATCCTGTATTCAGTACCAATAGACAATGTGCTAAAGAAACTTACTCATTCAATCTCTATTGGTTGCTCTGTTGTAATTCCATCCATGACACCGTTTGATAAAGTCTGGGAGAATGGGATTGGTTGCAGCGCATCCACCATTGGCTGATTACCCACCAATCGAACACCAACAGCCAAAGGCGCGCTGGTCAATTGCTGCCGCTGTTCCATCTGCTCCAAATCCTTTTCGCGACCGTGCGCTGTTGCTACACGGACTACCACTTTGCTGAGTTGATCGCAAAGAGGACCGGGGAAAAGAGTGATGGTCTTGGTGATGTTATGCGTCTTGTAGATCCCCACAAGTTGATCAGCTAATTCAAACATGTTGTTCCGCAGGGAAATGACAACAAACTGTGCGTTTTTGGTTCGCTCTTTCAGATAATTCCCTACTATGGAGACATTTTTGAAATCCAACGCAGCGTCTATTTCATCCATCACATACAGTGGGGTAGGTTTGTAGTGGTGCAAGGCGAAGACCAGTGCAAGGCTGGATAGGGTCTTTTCACCACCCGACAAATTGGCTATGTTTTTCCAAGACTTTTTCGGAGGTCGAACGCTGAACACAATTCCTTCGGAGAATGGATCGAGGGAATCGATGAGTTCAAGTTCCGCATCGCCCCCTGTAAATGAAAAAAAAGAAATTATGCCTCTAATTGGAATGAGTCACCATAAAGGGAGGCCGAGACTCTGGCGATAAAGCATGAGAAGACAGCTGTTTGACTGCAACTTGGAAAACGAGAGCTCCGAAATTCGAGAGCGACAAAACATTTTAACACGTAAGAACAGACGAACAAGCTGGACCACCTACACTGCCGTCACCAGCCACTTTCAAATCAACATCATCGCGGACCACACTCTGAATAGCCCTCAATCAATCAATCAATCAATCAATCAACCAATCAATCATTCATTCAGTCAATCAATCAATCAATCGACCGATCGATCAACCAGTCCGTCAGTCAATCAGTCAGTCAATGGAGCATTCTATCTATCAATCCATCAACAGATCAGGCAACCAGTTAAACTATGTATCTATCTATCTGTCTATCTGTGTATGTTAATAATAACGGATTCACAGATCAAATTTTAAGCAGGAAATCCAATATAGTTTAATAAAATCCAACAAAGCGGTGAGCATAATCAGGCCCTCAGGCATACGCACGAGCCTATGAACGCTCAACAGGCGTACTTCCGGCAGCCTGATCATCATTCAGTTTTGAACTTTTCGTCAATCGATCGCAGTTCGATGTGACTTGGTCCATAGTCGCCTGTTGTGCGGACTCTGGTTTGTGGGCTACATGCAGTAAGCTGTGCTATGGTAACGCCGTTGTTTTAAGATGTCTTCTCTGTGGGGGCGTTGGCTTATCTGAACCATATGTGCAAGCTGGCTATATTGCTTTATACACTGGATACGGGTCATTTATTGGCAGACTGTGGGCCTACATTTCCGCAGTTTAACTCAGTACTCCTAACTGGTGCGGTGATATTAAGGTATCTTCGAGTTTATTGATGCTCGCATACTCCCAGTTAGTAGTATCACCGTTACACCAGCACAGACGAATAGATTGCAGTGGAACATTTGATGGATAGAGGGGCGTCAGTGAAGGTCGGCGAACGAACATCTGCAAGGGCGAATGATACTTCCCGATTGACCAGGAAAGGGTTTTGTTTGAAGTACCTGACCCTGAGATTTGATTGCCTTGGGAGACCCCATCCTGAGCCACCGATTCAACCCGCTTGAACTCAACAGCGCGGAGAGTAAGACACAGATGTCTCACTGCTGGCGCTGCTACGCCTGTTACGCTTGAGCCGTATCTGGCTACTGGTGGGTTTTAACTGTATTTCGACCTATTGGATAGTCCACAAACGGTCGTAGTCAGGAAGTGCGGTTTTCACGTCCGAACTTTCTAAACCACTGTTTCTTGTGGGAAGGCAGCATCGCCTCTTCTATAAGGATGAAAATACTGGTCGCCCGGAGGAATCGCCTTTTGCATCCACACCCCAATCGCAGTATGAATTCATCTCCAGGTCGCCTCGTATTACGCTTATTCAAAGTGCAGGAGCTTGAGTAGATCCAGCTTTCACAATTCAAACCCTGCAGCTGATTGCAACTCTTTCAATAAACCGTGGTTAGAAACAACTCAAAAAAGGCTACCAAGGCAGCTGTTTTCCGCGAAACAAAAGCGATTTAAAAGACCAGAACCTACCTTGAGTAATCATCTGATACATTTCTTTCAATTTGGCCGTGATCGCATGAAAACCATCCAGGAATTCGGAAAGGCGTTTAGCTTTTGCATCTTCCATCAACTTTCGTTGTTCACCCAACAGAGCTGTCACGTGATTTAATTCGCCCACACGAGTCAGATAGATTTCAGCTTTGCGACGAAACTCCTCGATGGCGGCCATATTTGGGGCAAGACCAGCGATTCTTTCTTCCAATCCCCGGAGTTCTTGGCAATCAACAGAGAGTTCTGAAAAAATCGAAAGACTGAAGTAAGAAGTCAAGCGTTCGGTTACAGAGTACGCTGTCTTCCTATAGTTTGTATTGGCGAGGGCGGAAGTGTGGTAATGGATTTCGGCAGGTAAAAAAACGTTCAGCTATAGCACCGTTTCGGCATCTAACTACCATGCCATCGGAAGGTGGCACGATAACTGGGATACTGCCAGGTTGCCCAAGCCTAGACAGGGGAAGTTTAGAGACAGAGGTTGGGTTCAAACCATGGACCTTCCGGTCTTACCACAGAGCCATCTCGCCCATCAGCACCGACAGGTGAAACAACACCAAATATGTAAAGGCCTGCTGATCATGAAGATTCTGGAATTCGCCGCGGTCTCGCTAGATTAGACCTTCCATTCTAGATACATATTTGAAAGTATGAAGGCAATAGTGTCAGTGCTGGCAAATTTCATGGCTCGTCAGCAATGCAAATGCATGGTGCTTGTCAACACCTGTAATGTTCTGACCCTCGAAGACGTGAAGGGTCCTGGTGAAGGATTAGAATCGGTTAAGATTCCTGGGCGGTAGCGCGGGCATATTGTGAAAAAAATATTGAAAAAGTGCAGCGAGGCACAGGTCCTTATTGGTAGCAATTCGTAAAAAATACCCACATGGGGTATTTGGGGACAGTACGAATTACAAAACTATCCAGAAACTGTTTGGGCCAACAAATCGAAAGATCCCAATGCGAGGCGATTTACGATCAGACATTCACTTTAATCAATTCAGCAAAAATGTCAAAAAACAGAATTTACCGTTAAGCTGATCGAGAGTATAAGTAGGTAGGACGGTGGACTTTTGTCGTTTTTCGGCAACTGGTGACGCGTTAATTGAGGTTTCGTTAAGCGGGACGCCTTCGGGTACGGGTTGAGACGACTGCGAATCCGACGCCGCGTCAATTACGGTGGTCTGGGTCTCTGTAACAGTATCCTCGTCATCAGAGAGGTCATCTATACGATGCAATCGAAGGCTCCTTATTTCTCGCTGCCAGTGACGAGCTTTCGAGGAAGCCTGGTTCAATTCGGACTCGAGCTGGGCAACGGCACGGCGCGCGGAGGATTCGGACTTTTGTAGCTCAGCCAAAGAGGCTTCGATCTCGGCCAAACGGCTTTGAGCCTCTTCTTTACACTTCTGGAGTTGTTCCACCTGGACAAGCAAATAATGTGCACACATATATCGGAAAGCACTGTGAACAAGGAGGAGTCAGAGGTCAAATAAAAAAATCTTTGAGCTGTAGTATCCCTTCGGTGCCTAACTGCGATGCCACCAGAGGGACGCACGAGGACTGGGATCCTGCCACGCTGCCCAAGCCTAGACAGGGGAAGTCAGGAAGCAAAGGCCGGGTTTGAATCACGGACCTTCCGGTCGGTAATTTCGCACTCTAACCACTTGAGCCGTCTCGCCTCCTGGAACCAACAGTACTCAATAGGTACGAAAGATTCAGACACCACTGTTCTCAAAGCGTCCGTGATATAAGGTTGAGCAAGCGCTGACACAAGTACATGTTCGAATTATGTCATGATAATTACTGGTTCCGTCTCGCCTGAACCAACAGTACTCAATAGGTACGAAAGATTCAGACACCACTGTTCTCAAAGCGTCCGTGATATAAGGTTGAGCAAGCGAGCGC